AAAAATAGGAAAATTAAAAAAATATGTTCTGTGTTTGAGTGATGCCATGTGCGGATGTGCATTTTTAAGCATTTAGGCATTTTTTTTTTTTTGAATTTGTTTGGGTTGATTCTTTTGTACACTGGTCCCTTTTCAAGTCTCACAGTTATCAGGAGGGACAATCTTTTGTTCTATTGTTGTCCATTTTGTTACCACCATTTTTGCTTTTTGAATTAGGTCTCTGGTAGTTGGTGGTCTTTGAATGGTTGTTCGGTATGTTTGTCCAGCCTCACTCCTCCTTTGTAGTTGTGTGAAAACGACTGCTATCGCATCCTCTACTTACAAGATTGTGTTCAGAAAGACGATACAACATTTTTTTTTTTTCTTTGAATGACACCATAAGACTTTTAAGAGTTCAGTTTAAAAGTTTAGTTTGTTTGGATGACTTTCTGAATGTGAAGTAGAGAATGTGTGCCGCTTCATTCTGAATCTCTGTTCCCCATGTGAGAGATTTTTTTTTTTTTTTTTTTTTTTTTTTTTTTGGAATGGTGATAGTCCTTTTAGAATCCAGCAGTAGATATATTGTGGTTTGTGAGTCGCAAAAATATTAAACAAATGAATAAAAATAAGGAAATCAAATGAGTTTTTTGTTTGGCAAAAAATACTAATAATCTACTTGAAAATGCAATGCTGTAAAAGACACTGGGGGGCAACGTTTGATTTGGGGTAATAACCCATCATGATAAGACATGACTACAGTCTTTGTTTTCTTTTAATGTTTTGTTTTTCTCTCCAGAGACCTGCATTGCAATTGAATGAGATATGTTGTTGTTGTTTTTTTTTGTGTTTGTTTATTTGGTTATTTGGGGTGGGAGGTTGTGTGAGAGAGCGTGTGTGGGGTTTTTTTTGTTTTGTTTTTTTTGGGGGGGGGGTCTCTCTGTTTCTTTTGTAATTTTAATGGTACAGACTATTGGTGCTATAAATACGTTCAAAATATTTTGAAGTTGCAGTTTTATTATATGACTCTTGATTTAAAGATGACAAAAATTTTATTTGTTGTCCCTCAGATAACCTATAAGAAAATGAATAGAAAACTTGCCCTTCCTGGTTAATTTGGCTGGATTTTTATTTTAATGAAACCTATCTGTTGTCTTACTCTCCTGTAACAGCAGAAGGAGAAATACTTGCAGGTAGCATGTCTTCATTTTCTATCCATCCTCGGAAAGGCCAAAACTGGTTCTCCCTGCTGCAGCTAAACAGATTGATAGCAGTGTAAGTGGTGGGGCAAATGTTCAATCTAAAAAAAGGCGTAACTACACTAAGGTACAAATGCTTTTTGTTCTCCATATGGGTTTTGTTTTTATTTTATTTTTATCTTTTGGTGTTCACTATATCATGTTGAAATGAAATATTAAGTAATGTGTGTGTGTGTGTGTGTGTGTGTGTGTGTGTTGACATAGAACTTGTGAAACTACTGGTTCAGAATGAGTGGTTGTTGATTTTTTTTTTTTTTTTGATTTTTTTAAAAATATGTGTATGGTGAGCTTCACCTTCATTAATTTGGCCTAGCTTGAACTAAAACCCTGATCCAATTGGCTACCAATTTGTCGTGGCACATGTGCCTCCCTGTGTGACCTTTGCTTTTGAAACCCCAAAATATTTGCAGATAAGCATGTTTCCTAAAAGGTGTTTTTCTGTCTGATCTTTTATTGTCTTCTCATTTGAGGATAGTAGCAGTGTGTATATATTCTTTTTATTTTCATACTTAATTATTTTTTTTTGTTGTTGTCATATCATACCCCAAACTGAAGCACAGATTACCAAAATCATCCCTCTGTCATGGGTACATGTCAGCAGTGTACACAGTAATGCACTGTCGCAGGTAAAGGTGTTTTTATTTTGGGCATGGCTTTGACATGGCTCTGTAGAAAATTAAGATTTGAAGGTCCAAAGTTTTAGTCCAATGCCGCTTGATTTTAAAAAAGGGCCCCCCCAAGTAGCTGAATGGAAGGTACTTAACTTCAGGGTCTTGTCACCTTTCTTTGAGACACTCAGGAATTTTTTAATATAAGCATACTGCATAGTCTACACTCAGACCTGTGGCAGTGCATTGATGCATCAATGTAAAACATTTTCTTCAAATGTTGAACAAATTATTGACAGGAGTTCTTTCCAAACAGCAGAGGTGACTGTCATTAATTTAGAGCTGTAGTTTTAGGAAGGGGGGAAAAAAGAACTAAGCCATTGTAAATTGCATAAGCAATGTGGAAGGGAGTCCCATGAGCCCCAAGTCCTATGCAATACCTTGGCGCATGGAAACATTGAAGAGAATATGGAGAAATGTCCTTTAGTTACTTTTGCATGTGGATCGCTTTTGAGTGAGGAACACATGGGACAGAAAAAACAAACTTATGGAATGTCTCTAAAAATACAGCATGCAAACATCACACTCCATCTTTTTTTAGTTGGATTATTATGGGTAAAAAAAATAAACTTACGAGTGAGGTTAAAGTGATTGAAAGAATGCTATGACTGTGTGTGTGTGTGAAACTGTCAGTGAATGTGTGCAAGAAATCACAAAAAACACTTACTTGGGAGTTCTGTATTTAACTCTTCCATTTTGATAGGCTGTGTTTGAAACAAAACGTGACGAGTAAACGCATTCAGAGAGGGTTTATGTGTTCGGAGAGACTTCTTACAAGCAAACTTTCAACTGCGCTGTGTTCTGAACAGCATATCCAGCACAGAAAACCCAAGTTTTCCTCGTCTGTTCATTCCCAAGTAGATGATGCTCCTTTGCCCTCCCTCTTCTCTATGTTCCTGAACCCTATGTATCCTGCGTAGCTGTGTTCTTATTTCATGTTCACCCTGAGTAAATTATTTTTGTTTCATTGTGGATTTTCTTAACACATAATAAAGGATTAAACCAAAATGCAGTCTGTAGGTTCCTGTGTCTTTGCATTATCTAGAGCAGGTGTGGGCAATTCCAGGCCTCGAGGGCCGGTGTCCTGCAGGTTTTGAATCTCACCTTGGGTCAACACACCTGAATTAAAATGATTCGTTCGTTGCCAGGCCTCTGGAGAACTTCAGGACATGTTGAGGAGCTAATTTAGCCATTTAAATCAGCTGTGTTGGATCAAGGACACATCTGAAACCTGCAGGGACACCGGCCCTCGAGGCCTGGAGTTGCCCACCCCTGATCTAGAGTGTTGAAAGGAAATAGGAGCAGCGTTACATTTTAGCTCGTCAGCCTCACGGTGACACTAGAGAGCAGGTGAGGCACTGCCAGCTGCTTAAGTATTTATAGCACATATCAGACTGCAGCTTTTATTCTTGCGGACAATGTTTTTAAGATCCTGTATACTTTTGTGTACCAAAGGTGGTTTTCCAACACATTATTGGCTGGTTTTTGAAAGGCTAATATAACAGCAACAGCCTTAAATAATTTATCCATTGCACTGAAGAATTGTGACTAAATATTTAACATTATGTTATGAGATTATCCACACATACACATTAAGATTTTATATTTCTAATGTAACAGAATAAAATGAATGTGATGTTTGTGGTTGTCAAACAAACCCAATGTGTGTTAATAAGATGACCAAACGAGATAAATGATTATCCCATGTGTGAGTGTTGCTTCTGTCAGACTTGATCTGTGCCTTCTCGTTAAAATGGTGGAGGCTAGCGACATGGTGGTGGGGGGGTTACACCACAACAATGCAGAAAACAGGTTGATATTCCTGAGCATAGCATTTAAGTGTAGCTTTTTATAATATTGATGTCTACAATCAAAATAAAGGCTTTCATTAATAATAGTAGCAGTAATAATTAAAGTTCACTATATTACTTTATTATGATTATGCATTTGCTATCAATTTACTATGTACAGAAAACATGCTGGCATATTAGATGCCCGAACCACTTCATGTGGCGGATGAGTAGCTCCTCCCGGGTGGCTGAACTCACCTTATCTCTAAGTGAAAGGCCAGCCACCTACACTTTAGATTAATTTTAGAAATTGCACTTAATAAAACTGCAATCCAAAAGTATGGACACACTTAATATTTTAACCTTGATATTTTTTGAGTTTGGATGAATAATTGCTGCTTTGCACAAAACTTTTATTAGTAATTAGAAAATCTGTTGTAAACTTATAAAACAAAAAGACGAGTAGGACTTCCAGATATTCAACAGTGTCATATTACTTCATATTAATTCTAGCTATCCCTTATTTAGACCTATAAATATGTAACGGGAATTGGGAATAGCTTGAGAATTAATAGAAAATATACACTTAAGTAGTTGATGATATGTTACAATACAATCCAGAATTCACAACCATGTTTTACAGGTCTTTTGTCAGGTTGTGCGGATGCTACAGAACAGTTGGGATATGAAAACGTCATGGTGTAACCAAAAGCTGGGTTTTCTATCAGCAGAAAAAAAATTTTTATTAAGAAAATATTATTTTGCTACTAAAATATTTATTTAAAACAGAGGTTTGTTGTCACTACAGGATTTGTACAATTAAAAATACTACCATCAACTTTTTATTTATATGGCCTGTAAAGGAATGCCACCCAAAATGGTTAGACATATAGGAGATAACTCTGTACATTATTTTGTGTCATAACAAGTATACATTTTCCCAGAGCTGCTTCTGTAGAATTCCACTTTATTTATACAGAGTATATCTTCTTAAAAGTTTCAGGCCTATAGCACTTCTAATGACAGTTTTCACAATTTGATAAGCAGGTGCTCAGTTATTATAGCAATTTGTGAAATTTCAGTTTACGATGCTATTGAATATACTTCTGTTGATATTGGCTCAATATGATTTTAATATGAACATACATTTAATAAAATGTGTTTGTAACATTAACCCGACTTTAAAAATGTTATGTAATTGTTTATTTTGGGAGGACTACTCTTCTACGTCATACAACCGTCTATATTGTAGAAGTAACATACGGTCAGTGATATAAATAATAAGCCCGCAGGTTGCGAAGTCGATTAATAATGCCTTCAGGTCCAGACAGGTGAACCATCGACAGGGAGCACTCTTTACTCGATTAGACCGCACTCTCCGTACAAGTTTGTTTTAAAATGGCGGCAGAAGCATCGACACAGGTATGAAATCTTAACGATTCCGGAGAAACTTGAGAAATGCGCTTGCTTCTATGATTCACAAAAGAGCGGAGAAGCACTTCCTGTCCTGCTGTGATGCCGGGAAGGCTAAACCAACATGTCTCTCTCATTTTAAAAAGTGTTGGTTCCATTTGAGGAAGCGCTCGTGAAATTAGTGAGTTGGCGTCAGCGGCAAGTGCACTTGGCGAGCAAGTGCGGTTCAACACGGCGTTTGTGTGTTCACTGGCCGCATTCCGACTGAATTCCGGGGAATTTATTCGAAAACAAATGAGCTGACTTCAGTGCTGTTCGTTTGGGCGAAGCTCCGCTGAGGAGGCTGGGAGTTGATGGTGGTGCAGCACTAGTCACAGCATCATCATGGACCACTCCGGCCAGCGCCTACCTGTCACCCACCTGTAGCTTTAACCGGCAGCATGGCCAACACGGCCCACGACACACAGGACCGGAGGGAGAACCACTGTGGTACGTTACTGTCGAGCACGGTCTCAGTTCTGTGTATTTATCGCGGTTAGACAACATGACATGTTCACCGTGACCCTGACACTGAGTGTGCTGCCCTCCCTGGTGACGTATGTCACACCAAACTACATTAGAAAAACTTTTAATAAATCAAAACTATGTAATATCGCGAATTTACACAGATGTTTAACTATGACCAGTTGAATAACTCGTGTTTTATAGATACGGGCATGAATTCGGCATAGATTAATTACACATTAAACAGCACTTGCACTTTTTATTTCGTCACATATCTCAAATATCAAGCGTCACTGAGTGAGTTTGCAAATTGCTATGGCTAGTCTTCAGTTCTGCACATCATTTCAGAATAAATAAAACTTGAACTTTCATTCAATTTTGTAGAAAGTGATATTGGCATGGAATAAATATTTGTAACCACTCCCGAAAACTGGAATCCTCCATATACCTGACACAGATATTTGGAATAGGGTTATGCCATAACACGTGATGTGCTTTTAAACAAATACAGGTAAACTGAAAACTGGCTCCATTGCTTGTGAAAGTGTTGGCCCACTTTTCACAATTTCTGCTGTTAGTCAGGGATATAGTGGCGTAATATTGCATTTCCTTATGGTGTCCATAGAGTCATCATATCATGACTTGAAGAACCAGATTTGTCTGTGTGTGTGTGTGTGTGTGTGTGTGTGTGTATATTCAAATAGGCGGCTAAGTTGGGCAGACAATGAAGGCAATCTTGTTGTTTCTGTTTCATTACTTTTACAAGAAAAAAAAACTCTCTGGTGCGGCCGCATGCTTCACAGCTTTTACATTTCAGTGCTTAGCTGTTAAGACCTTTTAATATTTTCAGAATACATAGCAGTATTAATAATAATGACCGTAAAGTCATCATCATTAATTTTGACATTTGTTGGTGACCTCTCCTCTACTTGTATTTTGATTTCCACAGTGGCACAACCTGTTGCTGTGTTTTGGGACAAAGTCTGCCTGGCTCACATGACTACCTGCAAGTCAGGGTTTAGAGTTTGGGTAAAAATCTGGCTTCGTGTGTCAGTGCGTTGGAGAGCACTCAACTCTTTTAGGGTTTTGACTTTGAAAGGGTATTTATTTTTACTGATTAGGGCGTGGTTGGTTTAATCGTAACCTGTTTACTGTCTTAACATGCCTGTCGTTTATTTCTGTGTGATTAAATTTGAGTTATGTAGTAGGAACACTAAACCTAGCATGTGTGCTCTGAAGTTTATGAGAGTTTCCCTTGTTGCCAGAGTGCAGGAGATAACACCCCCCCTCCCCGCATCAGAATTGGTTTAATGAAAGGATTCCTGAAATTCTCTCCTGTCACTGCTAATGCAGCTTAGAGCTTAGACACACTAGCTTCTAAGCTGGGGTTGGAGCATGATGGAGCCCGGCAGAAAACATGTTCACATTACACTGCAGACTCCAGTTACAGTCGGGTTACTTTAGGATTAGTTTTCACCTAGTTAGGCTCACATGCTCGTGTATCCAATGTCAGTTAGAGGAAACCTTTAATCCTGTTGTATTAAAGCTACCAATATCAATGGGATGTACAGTCAAAAATAACTTTTCTGCAGTTTTTTCTGCCTAGCCCATTAATTCTAATAAAGCTGTGGTTATTTGATTGAGCAGGTGTTTATTGAAAGGTTGGATGCCCGTATTAAACATAGACAAAGTGCAAGTATACGCGTGTACAAGTAAGTCCTGTGGGCCAAAAGCTCAGACTGATCTAGACACTTCTAGGTTGTTCTTTTTCTTCTTACTCTTGGGCCTTGATGATGTCATTGAGAGGCGATATCATAGATGTGGTTATTTGAGCTGACGGTTCTGTAAGCACAGAAGCTTCACTCACATACTGTTCAAACTTTCTGTTTGTGAAGGAGAGAAGTGGGATCATTTTGGCTAAAGCCCACGAATAACAACACTGAGCTGTCGAATGACCCCTATATAGCCTCTTTAAACAAAATGCAAATTAAAACATTTCAGTTATGGTGCAGTCATACTAGGGAAAACTTTGGTGTGGGACCACGACATAACCAAAGGTATTCCAACTGTGTGCAGTGAACTTGAGATTTATTTTCCTAGTTGCTTTGAAGACAGTGCAGTCAGTTGCTGTTATTAAATGGATTTAATTGCATCAAGGCGCCAATAAAATGAAAATATGATGATGAGTTTCCTATCAGTTTACCATTGAATGGGTTTAAATTGGCATTTGTGTGCAATGCGTTTGATAAGATGGTGATTAGCTGTGACAAATCTTTGGAAACCAAAAATCTGTTGGTGTCTGTATATAGAGAAATTCACATTAAGGAAAAATGTGCATGAACTTGTATTCAGAGCGCAACCAGAACCTCAACAAGCTGAAAGAGAAATTAAGAAATTCCTCCACGAATAGGTTCTAGGTTCTTTATTATTTGTCACATGCATAGGTATGTAGATGCTGCAGGACGGTGATTTAACTGCAGAAAGTTAAAGCCATGTTCCACACAAGCTGTTTGGAGAAAGGCCGCTTCCCACCTTTGCAATCACATTTGGATCTCTGACCTCTTCAAGGTCAAATAAGGTCAAACTTTCATAAACTGTCTTATCTTTAACTGTTTAAAATTTTACTGCCTTCTGTTCATATTGGCAACATTTGAAACTGGTATATGGGGATACTAAATGTCACATTATAGTTTGCATCCAAATGCCATGTCACATTTCACCTCTGATCTCACTTTTATAATGCACTGCTTTTCTATCAATTTGACTCCATATTACATTATTCTTAGTGCTGTCAATAGAGTAAAAAAAACAACTAATTAATTGCACAATTTTCTGTAATTATTCGCGATTAATTGCAATTACTTGATCAACAGCCTGGTTGCAATTACATTTTTTCAACTTTATATTTAAGCTTGTAACTGACATTTATGCAATATAATGAAGTAAATGGAGAGTAAACACAAAGAATGTATGCTTAAACTGGTTCTCACCAGTGAAATACAACTTTTTAAAAAACCTACATACTAATAGGAATGTCTTTATCCTGTTTTCCTTCTCTCACCCCCTGAGCCTGGTTCTGCTCGAAGTTTCTTCCTGTTAAAAGGGAGTTTTCCTTCCCACTGTCGCCAAAGTGCTTGCTCATAGGGGGTCATATGATTGTTTGTTTGTTTGTTTGTTTGTTTGTTTGTTTGTTTGTTTGTTTTCTGTATTTGTTATTGTACGATCTACTGTGCAAGTACCTAGAGGTTATTTGGTGCTATATAAATAAAATTGAATTGAATTGAAAATTAATAGGTAATGTTTAATCCGATTCATCACAGGGTTACTATGGATTAATTTTGATTAATCACAATTAAATACCATTTATTTTTATTCTATATTAATCACATTTAATTTTGCACGAGCAAACAGATTCAAGAAAAAAGGGAAAATATGCGTACTTAACATGTTTATTTATCTTGAACATTCATCTCCAAAAAGTTGATTCTGTTCATCTGGACGTAGCGTTTTGTGGGAGAAACATTTCGTCACTCATCCAAGTGACTTCAGTCTCAGCTGACTGCAGGTTTCCCCAATTCTTAAACAGTACATTTGCATAATGACTGAAACCAGCTCACTGAAGGACGCAGCGTTTTCTCCCACAAAACGCTACGTCTAGATGAACAGAATCAACTTTTGGAGATTTATTTTCCTGGATGATTGAGAATGCACCAAGACCTTGAACATTCATGTTAACAAAAAACTCTGTAAACATTTATCCGCTCTCTTTCTGTTACTTTTGGGGAGGCTTCAAGTCCTTGAAACGAGGAACCAAAGCTATGTAAAGCGCATGTTCCCAAAGATATTAATAGGCCTGCAGTTTGTTGCAATCCACTTGGCAATTGTGCCAGTCGGTATTTGGGAGGTGGAGTTACCGAGTCCCCGATGCTCTGTGAGTGGTTTGTTGCAAGCTTGGTGACACGTTAGTCCTAGCAGCATCCACGACTAATGTATGCTTCACGTCGATGTGATATTTTAAGATGGAAGTGCTTCGGTGAAAAGAGAATTCCTTCTTGCACAATGTGCATAATACTATGTCGGTTGACTGTTCCGTCTTATTTTTTTTAATATTCAAACGTGCGTTTATCATCTTCTATATTGAGTTGTTTGGTTCAGCTGCCCGTCACTACCAGATCAACTGCACATTTGCACATGTGTGAAGGTAACTCTACTTGGACAAACTGCCCAAAATGCATTGACAGAAACATTTTGGAAATTTTGAATCATTCTGCACTCCAGATGCATTAATAGCGTTAAAAATTTTAATCGTGTTGACCGTGATGGCGGATTACTTTGCATTAACGCTTTAATTTTAACAGAACTAATTACTTTTAACCATAGTCTATTAAAAAACAAAGAAAGACCAGAGAATGAGCTGCCTTGCCAGAGGTTTGCACTCTCTGTGCTTCTTTATTTCAACAATGTAACAATGGAATTGTCACTTTTTTTTAACGTACTTTTTATGAAAGACTACAGCAAATTGGCTCAAACTAGTTATCAGGAGGTGAACAAATGTATTTATGTTGTTAAACTGAAATTTCTGTTTCTTACAGTTATGCCTGGAGGAACCATAGTGGAGAATGGCTCTGTGGTCAAAGACCCGACGGCCTCTCACCTAAATGATCACATCAGCAATCACTGCCATGAGGCCAGAGCGGCCACACACAGCAACGCCGTCCTGCCCATCTACAAGCCATCCTGCTCGCCCGCTACTGTCCGTTATAGCAGCCCACAGAAAAGTTACCCAGACCTGGAGCCAGACAACCACAGCCTGACTTCCCAGGACTCTGGTATCCCCACTCTGGAGATCAATCCTCCGGAGCCCTTCCTTCACAGTCACCAAAGGCAAAGCGACGGAGGCCTTATGCTGGAATCAAGTCACGACACCCCCGCCACATTACCTCTGGACAATGGTCCCTCTGATGGCACCACTGTACGAAAATCCTCCACCTTTCCCCGCAGTGGCTATGACAACATCCGCCTCTTTAGCCCCACCCTCAGATTATCCTCCACCATGGGAGCTGGTGTTGGGGGCGGAGCATTAAACCGTAGTGATGACATCTCTGTGTGCAGCGTGTCAAGCATGAGCACAGAACTGTCGGTCTCCAACGAAGACATCCTGGATTTCACAGTTACATCTGACTCCAGTGCGATTGTCACTTTGGAGACCGCCGACAGCAGCACTAACCACTTTTCAGAAGTGGTGTTGTCGTCTTCAGCGGGAACCTCCAGAGACTTATGGGCGGCAGAAGCCATGCAGAAAGAAGAGGATGGGAGGCAGAGAAAATTGGGACCACTAGCAAGTTTATTTGCAAGGTGAGTCCATGGTTCTGTACTTTGTATTTGTAACACCCCACCACACCCCCACAGACTATCTGTTCTTGTTTAATTATGAACAATTATCATATAAGAAATAAAAAAAACCTGTAAAGTCAGTACCTACATTTTGGAATATTCAATTAACAATCATTTGAAACAAATGATTTAAAATAATAATACAACTGAGAAAGTTTTTAGACTCACGTTATTATCTATTTGTCTTATATATGAAATATTTTTGAGCTGTGTTTTTATTGGATGCATTTTTATTTTTTCAAAGCCTACACTAGCTGTTTTTTGCATATAGATAATATATTTTGATGATACCTAACCTGTATAATCCACTTTCACTTTGATGTACTCTACAACCTTGACCAAATCTAGGTCAATTGAATTCATGTGAGGTAATCTCAGGGTAAACATCTAAAGTTAATTACTCATTCAGGCATGTATTTATTTCATTACCATATTTATTAATGTAAATTAACAACAAACAAGAACAAATGTGATTCCATAGTTTTAAGGGTGCGGGGAATTCAACTTGTTTAAACATCAAAACAAAAACTAAGCCTAGACATAAGTCACTTTACAAAAATCGGCAGCAGTGGTACACATCCCCACATTTTCTGTCTCTGTACCAAGATGGTACCTGTAGCACCAAATGACTCTGTCTCGCCCTAGCATCACCTGTCCCTCTCATCATCAAGTCATCATATTCTGTGCTATGATTTATTTTTGTTTGTGGTCTTGCCACATGTGCCACAAACCTCATCTTAGCTGGTACATGACTCCGTTTGCAATCAGCCCTTATTGTCAACACGTAAGCCGTGACACATTTATATTGCAGCATTTTGCATCTCACTACGACAGGAAGGAGTTGTTCCTACCAATCATTTAGACGATCCCAATAACAGCTACTTTCCACTGTGTTCTTGTTAATGATAAAGTACAAATTTATTACTAAATTACTAAAATATCAATATTTTAATGTGAGAATCGATTCTAGAACATAAATATCTGGTATCAGAGGAATCGGTGTATATATCATAATAATAATGGATTGCATTTATATAGCGCTTTTCAGGGCCGTCCACTATTCCACTATTCATTCACTCTCACATTAACACACTGGTGGAGGCAGCTACAGCTGTAGCCACAGGCTGCCACATCGCGCCATCGGCCCCTCTGGCCATCATCAGTAGGCAGTATGTGAAGTGTCTTGCCCAAGGACACAACAACCGAGACTGTCCGAGCCGGGCTCGAACCGGCAACCTTCTGGTTACAAGACGAACTGCCAACTCTTGAGCCACGATTGATATATGGTGTGATCCACACACCACTACTTGTAATTTAGAATCTTTTAGAGGAGTTGCAGGATTTAGGAGGGACATTTGTAGAGCTCTTCTTTGGATATTGGCTGCCTTTTGTTTTATGAAAAAGCAGCAGTTGTCCAAAGGAAAAACTTTAAAAGACCTCCAGACAGCCTGATGTCCAAGAACACTTAAAAAAAAAAAAAAAAAAAAAAATCTAAAGAGCCTGTCTCTTTGGATGTAAACTACAAATTAAGGGCTGTAAACTTTCTTCAAGATCTTTGCACCATGCTGGAGTATAATGAAACGTGGGCAGAAATATTGATCTATCACAAATGTTATGAGGCCATAATAGGGCAGAAATAGAAGAAAAACAAAAAGCAGCATTGTAGCCAGCCTTACTGAGATAATACTAGATTGTCAACTTCCTCTTTGACTTGCAGAATTTGTATGCTTAAGATTGCTTCACAAACGTGCATTAAGCAAAATATCCCTCTGACCCATTCCACCACTCTTGGAAATTGCAGCTCACCCAGAACATAAAAGATCATGACCCTGACCTCTGCTTATCCAAATCATGGCCAAGCATGAGTCGGATAGCAGCTTTAAAGCACAGCAGCGACCTAGCTACCACTTGCATGTTGTCTCTTGTGTTTAAGATACAGACTAGTATATGAACACCCCTGGTAAAGCCTGGTTTGCTTGTTATTCACACCTTTTGACACCAGCTCCCCAGCACATCGTGTTTCAATAGTACAAATGGACCAGTTAGACCAATTATTACTGATGCCATCCTTATAACATAGATCTAAAGTTCATTCATGTATGTGCTGAAGTTGTATTTGTTGGTAAAACAATAACAAAACCATGGTGAACAAAACAGATTTAATTTAAGCTCAGTGAGAATTTGTTGCTCTAATTTATGTTCACAGTAGTTTCTCAGCACTAAGCATTGCTCTTAGAGCCACACATGCAGAGTATGTCTAACAAGAAACTCCATATTCTACTGTAGGTGCAGTAAAAGCTTCACAAGTGCTAAAACGAACATAAAGAGAAAAGGGGCGAGAGCAGCTAACAAGGAAAGTGCTGTTTTTGGAGCTTCTGGCTCATGTTAACTCACTTGACTATAGTTTGCTGTTAATTACATGAATTACTGCAAACAGACTGTGAAATGCCTTCAAACGACTGACCCTTTGCCGTCAGCTTCCTCTGTGCTGTTTCATGTAGAAGTTATGAAGTTTCAGTGGTGGTTGCACGTTGCTGCTTTCAGATGGGGCCAGTGTCAAAAAGATGTGTTACATACAACTGGTCTGTTGACCACTGTTGTTTGTGCTGATGTTAGCGACTCCTGTTTGTACTCTTCATACTGTGTTTTTGGATCTTTGGGGTTTTCTTTTTTTCTTTCTTTAGGGGGGTGAGGGGGCCGTTTGCTTCAATATTCAACAAATGCACAGCATGACCCAAATGTGCAGTTGGAATTTTTAGAGGCCTGCAGCGGAGCATATTTGTGCTGATTCAAAGCACTCTGTCCCCTTATATACGACTATCAGATATGTGCATCCCTATGAGCTTCCCTATCCAGTATCTCAGATCCTGAGGAATTTTCTGTTTTCTGGCAGGGAAAGTCCTTAACAGCATAACTTGTCCTGAGAGAGTGTGCACTGCTTCTCTGTTTGTGAAGACGATACTGTCATGACATTGCATCTAATGGGCTACTTCCCATTTCTGAATGTGTGCAGCTAAAGGTGTGGTGTTCCTTCCTCTTCCTCCTCCTTGTGCATGTTACAGATAGAGATGAGGTTTTTGATGTCTCACTACAAGTTTCATCATCATACTCGGGTTCAACTTCTTATAAGCTGGCAACAGACATGCTAAAGTTACTTTCATTTGACTTTCAGGTTTTTGCACACGTTCTGAGGAACGCTTTTAGTCTACCAAGATTTCTTTTTGTATTTGATCAGGCTTTTATTTCAGATCAAGTGTGTTGTCATGGATAGCTTTGCATTTAGCACTACAGATGCTGCAGAGATTGTTGTGTGCATTGAGTTTTGAAAAAGTGTAATCTCAACTGAGACCGCTTTCAGCTTGAGGCTGCTGGTGCCATTGCCACGTGTGTCAGATCGCATGGTCTCATTCTTTCTTCCCAGATCTACTCTGCTACCGAAATGTAACATTTCATTGAATTAGTGTGTGAATCATTTCATATTTGGCATCTGGTGCAAGACTCTGCCAAATCAAACATGTGGAACTGCCCACTGTTGTAATAGAGCAGCTGAAAGTAGCCCTTTTCTTGTTTCTGTATTTGTGTAGGAGTTCACTTGGCAAATGAAAGCTGCCAAAAATGTGATGATTTGAGATGACCTTGGTTTAAATCCTCTTGTCATCGGTGCCTGGAGGTTTTACTTAAATGTAAGAAGAGATTCTCTGATCAGTGGAGCAGAGACTCTATTTTAATTTTCAGACGCTTTATTTCTTTTTGGAACTGAAGCCAAACCTGGAATTTCCGTATTCTGTTTGACTTGCAAGAAATGTACTATTCCTCTCTGCTGAATTCATCTTTCCTGATATACATTTCAGGAAAGATGCATTTGAGTCAAAACCACGAGTTTACATTTTGTTTTGGTTGTAGTTATCAGATGGGTAGGATGACGGGAATGAAATGATCCACTGCCTGCTCTGGTTTTCCTCAAATTGAATCCAAGTTCCAAACACACTCAGAATGTTTACTGACTGAATTAATCAGTTAATGAGGTAACGTCAAGTGTTAAATTGGCACTCCCTCAAACTCAACTCGTCATCCCTGTTTTTATTCATTCGTCACAAGTAAAAGTTACTCATTTACTGATTGCCCTTCAGATTCCTGCTTCTCACACTCATTCCTCCTGTTCCTTACATCCCATTTGTTTAGAAGTCAGCCTTGTGACTGAGGAGGTGGGGACACAGAGGAGAGAGCAGCTCCCTCCTTTCCACTCTGCCTGAACAAAGTGGCTGTGTAGGGCTTTTTCTACACTCTGTAGTAAAAGCCGTAAATGCAGTGGGACTTGCTGATCTATGAGTTTAACCACAGGGCTTTTGCTATTTTTCTGTTCCTCTTATCGTCTTTTGAAGCTTAGACTCCAGGCTCTTGTTTCTCTGTTGTGTAGTTGCATTAACAGAGCAGGATGGCAACTCCATCGCTCATGCTGTACACTGACAGGTAGGACAATGAACAGTATTTGGTGGCATACGTTTGTGTCTTGATTGACATGTCATGGCTACTGTTTCCTGTTGGATTTTTTTTTTTTTTTTTTTTTTTGTGCTTGGCAGCTTTGAGCAGGTCTTTGTCCTGGTTATTTGATGTTTTCTATGACTTGAGTCTGCTTTTCTACTTGAGATGGCTTGTGTTAATATTTTTGAGTCATGTGTAAATTCAGGTCTGTAACCATGCTGAGACACTTTATCACCTTATTTGCAGACATCAAGGCTGAAAACCAGATTTGTGAAATGCTAAAAATCTTAAAATCCTTTGGGGAAAAAATAATCTAGTGCTATGTCTTAGCTCACACTGACCATATATAAATAAGCCCTTCTGACAGTCAGTTCTTTGGTTCTTCCTAGCTGTTCCGTTTGAGTACTCGACCATAGCTGCACCAATTCAGATGTCACGTTGAAGCAACTTTGGCCCTGACTGAATGCAAATCATGTTCC